GAACATAAAAGTTTACTCACTGTTTTGTCACTGTTTTCGATTGCTCCAACTGAAAGAATTGCTCTACTATTTCTGGTGACTACAGTCCTAGTAGTTGACTGCATGCTCTTTTGAGTGAGCTCAGAATTTCATGAGTAGGGAATGAGACCACTTTATAGGAATTGTATGAAAAAAGTTTCTCCTAATTGAAAAAGAAAGTCAGGAAATTATCACCCACACTTTTTCCCTTCTAAAAAGGGAAACCTGAGGAGAAATCCCTTGCCCATTCACAAAAGGGTTAAATGAATCCCAGAGCCTCTTTGGATAAGGGAAGAAGTGCTCTTGAGGATGAAGTGGCATCTAGTGTGTTCAATGCATGGGAAAATGCAGCCGAGAGCCATAAATATCTCATTAGTTTCATTCCCAATTAAGCGTGAAACAGTGGCTGTTTATTGGAGTGAACGTGTGCAGCAAAAGGGGACTGGGACAGGTCAGGCCACGGAGAAGAGTGAAAGCAGGAAGGACTTGTTTGGGAAGGAATCCTTTGGCAAAGACCTTCTTTGCATTCACAATCATACCCCTTTTTTGTCTACCTCCTCTGTCTTGTATCCATAATTCCTTGTGGGCTTATACTTTTTTCCTACATAATAGCAACACCCACCACATCCCAGCTCTCCTCTTTCTTTCCTGTACTCCATAATGATTTCCTCTCCCCTCCCTACACATACACATACCATATAACCACAACATTAACATGGAAAGAAGAACATGTCGTGTCAAATCTAGTTGTGGTAGACAGAGAGCCAATGCAATTGATTGTTAATATGAGATCTCTGACTGTCTTGGCACTAATCACTACTGTGTCTCTGTAAAAATATCTTCAGGCACACAAATTGAAGTTGAGGTGGCAAAGAAGGAATTGCTGATAAATATTTAAAACTATTTTATGTGTAACTGTAAAAATGTTCAATGGAAATGGGTCAACATAAAATATTGCTGTTATGAATCTCTTTTCCCTATGAGGATACTGAACTATGGAGGGGGGGGGACAGACATAAAGATTATCTATTGGCTATTGAAACCATGGATTATCTGTTCATCTGTAAAGTGGTAATGCCTAAATACATTGGCCAAAATCCTATGTATTTTCAGTGTAGCAGAAAAAAATGTAGGTTGATATTGTCTTCTTCTCTCAGCCATGACCAACTCTACCCCAGAAGTTATTGTGTTGCTACTATAGTCCTCACATGGCCATTCAATAGCCAGTGGAGCTCAAAGGGGAACTGAAGAACATAATCTGCTGAGACCTCAGCCAGACCCCGATACATTTTGATCAATAAAGTCATCAGTCAACCGTTGAATTTTGAAGTATACTCTTCTTTTAATAATTTTTAGTTATTAGATTATCTTGACAGAGTGCAGTTTGTGATGAAAAGGTGTTTCAGGGCTCTGGTTCAACATTTTCCACCTGTGGAATCATAGTGCTACATTTAGTGGTCTAGCATATCAACTAGTACTCTCTATTTGTGCACACAGAAAATAAGCAGCATTACTGGTTTCCCCTCCAGAGGGCATTGTGACTCCAAACACCAATGGATTTGGGGCAAACTTGGCATTCATATCTGATATGCCGAAATTTGATTACTGGGGGTGGGGGTGGGGGGAACTGACCTTCCTTCTGGGACTTGTAGTTCACCCACAACCAGAGGAATGATGACCCCCACTGATGATGGACCTGGACCAAACTTGGCACACAGAACCCCCACGACTCACTCAACCTACTGGAGGGGTTTGAGGGGACTGACTCATCATGGTGGGAGTTGATGTTTACCTTTCAGCCTGAGAGCACACTGAACCCCACCGATGATGCATCTATAGCAAACTTGCCCAACATAACAAACTTTAAGTACTGATGGAGTTTTTTGGGGTTAACCTGGCATGATGTGAGTTGGAGTTTACCGCACAGTGGGGCACTGCATGGGAGATCCACAATTTGCAACTGCAGCATGTTGATATCTCCAAGGAAAGGTAATGTAGCCCAAACATCATGCAATTACATAAGGGCAGATTTACACGTATAAAGGGCAACGACAGATCTAGTATGACAGAAATATGATAGTGGTCCCAACTCCCTAGCATTTATGGGAAAATAAACCCATGACCCCACACATTACACATCTCAAGAAGCCCTGTTTTATCTACTGTAAAAGTCAATCATGTTCTTCATCATACTGAATTCCAAAAGTCATAGGTGTACAGGATGGAATCCTCTGAGGACTTAACGTATGAATAAACAACCAGCTGTGCAAATAGTTGGGACTTTTACTGATTTATACAAGGGGATCTACAGGTCAATTTACAGCAATCCTGGGAAGATGTTCAACCTACTCACTCTGCCTCCCCCATTCCCACCCTACATTCCTGCAGGGATGCATAAAAAAGCAACTGGAAGGGAAAGGCTATTAGCTGCTTTTTCATAGAAGCACTAGCCATCTCAGTTTGCTCAATCGGTGCTAGCCTTAATACTAGGCCATGTATAGTGGGACAGGAAATTGCCATTAAAAAAAGAATAGAAAACTGTCACTCATCTAATTTGTTATGATTGTTTTCCCTAGGAACTTTGCTAGCCTAGAATACTCTGTCCTTGGCCAGCTCTCCCATTGAGCAGAGTTACATCCACTTTGGATAGCAGACTGGGATGAAGGAGGAATTAGTAACAGCATTCTCTCTGTTTGGAGAAGAGAATGGTGTATGCCTCACTGTCAGGCCTTGCCAGTGCCAGATTTACCATTGTGCTTAGGTGTGCTTAAGCACAGGGACCCGTTGGCCAGGGGTGGGGGTGGGGCACCTTCCTGCCAAAGAAAAAAATGACGAATTGTACTCTTCCTCCTTTTCTCTCCTCGGAAAATAGTCCCAGATCTTTGTTTCTAGATCAGTGGTTCTCAACCTTCCTAATGCCGTGACCCCTTAATACAGTTCCTCATGTTGTGGTGACTCCCAACCATAAAATTATTTTTGTTGCTACTTCACAACTGTAATTTTGCTACTGTTATGAATCATAATGTAAATATCTGATATGCAGGATGTGTTTTCATTCACTGGATCAAATTTGGCACAAATACACCTAGAAGACTAAGATTGTTGGGAGAGGCCCTGCTCTCAGTTCCGCCTCCTTTGCAGGTGATAAAGGTGGGCATGAAAGACAGGGCCTTCTCAGTGGCAGCCCCTCGGCTGTGGAACTCCCTCCCCAGTGATATTAGAGCAGCTCCCTTTCTCCTGGCCTTCAGAATGAGTGTTGCTGTGTGCTTTTTTTCCTGTGTCAGAAGCAACTTGATAAATTGCAAGTCGCTTCTGATGTGAGAGAACTAGACATCTGCAAGGATATTGCCCAGGGGACGCCCGGATGTTTTTGATGTTTTACCATCCTTGTGGGAGGCTTCTGTCATGTCCCTGCATGGGGAGCTGGAGCTCACAAAGGGAGCTCATCCACGTTGTCCCCGGATTCAAATCTCCGACCTTTTGTTCTTCAGTCCTGCTGGCACAAGGGTTCACCAAAGGAAAGTAACAACCTGGCTCTGGGTTCAAGCCTTTGGAGATTGACTACAGTGCAAAAATAACTATGAAATATGTGCAAATCTTTTGTATTGCTATCCCAATACCCCCATGCATATGGGATATATTTAGCATGGTGATCAGATCATGATATGAATAAATATAACTATTCAAATAATGTACCTTCTCGCGGTCCACCCTGAGAATTTCGGGGGGGGGGGAGCTCAAGCCCCTCAAGTCCCCCCCCTCCCGCTACATACCTGCCCTTACCCTAACCCTAACCCAAAATACTTGCCCCAGCCCAGTGGTTCTCAACCTGGGGTCCCCAGATGTTTTTTTGCCTTCAACTCCCAGAAATCCTAACAGCTGGTAAACTGGCTGGGATTTCTGGAGTTGTAGGCCAAAAACATCTGGGGACCCCAGGTTGAGAACCACTGTGCCCTTACCTTAAGCGCCGCCTCCTTTCTACCCTTCCTTCACTCTCCCCGTTCTCCTTCCGCCTCCTCTCCTCCCTTATTCACAGCCATAAAGCTCGGAGCAACAAGAATGATTGACAACTGGGAAATAGAGGGAGAAAATGTGGAGGCCGTGACAGACTTTGTATTTCTAGGCGCAAAGATTACTGCAGATGCAGACTGTGGCCAGGAAATCAGAAGACGCTTACTTCTTGGGAGGAGAGCAATGTCCAGTCTCGATAAAATAGTAAAGAGTAGAGACATCAGACTGGCAACAAAGATCCGCCTAGTCAAAGCCATGGTATTCCCTGTAACCTATGGATGTGAGAGCTGGACATTAGGGAAGGCTGAGCGAAGGAAGATAGATGCTTTTGAACTGTGGTGTTGGAGGAAAGTTCTGAGATTGCCTTGGACTGCGAGAAGATCCAACCAGTCCATCCTCCAGGAAATAAAGCCCGACTGCTCATTGGAGGGAAGACAAAGTTTAAGTACTTTGGCCACATCATGAGAAGAAAGGAAAGCTTAGAGAAGACAATGATGCTGGGGAAAGTGGAAGGAAAAAGGAAGAGGGGCCGACCAAGGGCAAGATGGATGGATGGCATCCTTGAAGTGACTGGATTGACCTTGAAGGAGCTGGGGGTGGTGACGGCCGACAGGGAGCTCTGGCGTGGGCTGGTCCATGAGGTCACGAAGAGTCGGAGACGACTGAACGAATGAACAACAACAACAACAACGCTCGGAGCTTCCGGACACAGCTATCATACTATCACCCGGCCATGTTTTGGAAGCATTCTCTCCTGACGTTTCGCCTGCATCTGTGGCAGCTTTTGTAGTTCTTTCTGGTGGGATCCTACAAAGTCGAAGAGCGTTCCTCTGAAAAACCGAACAAAAAAAAGAATCCCAAACTCCCTCTCTTTGCCCCCTCCCCGCCCACGGGAAAGGGGTGACCAATCCCAGCCCCTTGCTTGCCCAGAGGCCACGCCTCCTCGCCCCGATTTGCATTTTGGAAAAGCGAGAGAGCGAGGAAAAGTGGGCAGAGAATAGGCAGGCTGCGGCGAGGAGGGCTCTGCGGGCTAGGCTTGGCTTCCGAGGAGCCTCTTTCCCCCCAAGCAAGCAAGCAAGCAAGCAAAGAAGGCAGAGCCGGACCCTCTGCGCGCGGAGATGGAGCGGGGCATGCTGTGGCTGCTCTGCCTTTTGGGGCTCCTGTGCGCGCCTTGCATCGGCTCGGCGCGCGGGCTCTTCCTCTTCGGTCAGCCCGAGTTCGCCGCCGCCTCCTCCTCCTCGTCCTCGTCGTCCTACAAGCGGTCCAACTGCAAGCCCATCCCGGCCTCGCTGCTGCTCTGCCGGGGGATCGAGTACCCCAACATGCGGCTGCCCAACCTGCTGGGCCACGAGACGCTGCAGGAGGTGCTGGAGCAGGCGGGCGCCTGGATCCCGCTGGTCCAGAAGCAGTGCCACCGCGACACGCGCAAGTTCCTCTGCTCGCTCTTCGCGCCCGTCTGCATCGACGACCTGGACGAGACCATCCAGCCCTGCCACTCGCTCTGCCAGCAGGTCAAGGAGAGCTGCGCGCCCGTCATGTCCGCCTTCGGCTTCCCCTGGCCCGACATGCTGGACTGCGGGCGCTTCCCCCAGGACAACGACCTCTGCATCCCGCCCGCCACCGGAGAACACGTCCTGCCCACGCCCCGCGAAGGTAAGCCCTGCCTGGCGCGCGTGGACGGCTCCCGAACTGCCCTGGCTCTATGCCGTGGCATCCTATTGGCTGGAGTCTTACAACTCCTTTCGCCTTTTCTGACACAGAGTGTGTCTACACCAGGCATGGGCCAACTTGGACCCTCCAGGTGTTTGGACTCTCACCATTCCTAACAACTACAGGTCCCTTCCTTTTCCCCCTCAGCCTCTTAAGAACGTTAGAATGTTGAGGCTGGCCAATCAGGAACCATATGCAAATTAATAGGCTATAGCTCATGCATGGGCCAACTTGGGCCCTCCAGGTGTGTGGACTCCAATTCCCACCATTCCTAGCAGCCTCAGGCCCCTTCCTTTCCCCCCTCAGCCGCTTAAGAATGTTAGAATGTTGAAGCTGGCCAATCAGGAACCATATGCAAATTAATAGGATATAGCTCATGCACGGGTCAACTTGGGCCCTCCAGGTGTTTTGGACCCCCAACTCCCACCATTCCTAACAACCTCAGGCCCTTTCCTTTTCTGACACCATGATTTGGGGAAATAATATGGGAATCAAATGTCTAAAAGCTTAATCTACATATTAAGATGCTTACCCTTGAATTTTAGCCTTTACATATTAAGACAATTACCAGTAATACAGTATGAAAGCTGGGTCCAAAAGCTCTGAGCCTTACGATCTTTCCGCTTCGCTCCTTTGGGAGCACTGTTTGCACAATGCAAAATGGAACACAGATATTATAGAATTATAAGAATTCTTTAATAGTAAAACCCTAACCCTAAACCTAACCTCTAAACCTAATTCTAACCCTAATCCTACCCCAAGCAATAAACCTTACCCTAAACTTTATCCTAACACTCCCCTCCTTTCTATCCTTCCACCAAATTGAAGTATATCCCTGCCCTCAATGTGCTGCTCTTCCTTTCCCTTATTCACAAATGCCGTTGCAGAATGTGCGTAACACTCAGAGCTTCTGGACCCAGCTATCATACTCTCACCTAATTACCCTTGAATCTCCCTTTATGAACCATCTAGAACTTTAAGATTGTCTGAGAAGGCCCTGCTCTTGGTCCGCCTCCCTCTCAGATGCGTTTGGCGGAAACGAGAGACAGGTCCTTCTCAGTGGTGGCCCCTCAGCTGTGGAACGCCCTTCCTAGGATATTAGAATGGCCCCCTACCTCTTAACATTTCACAAAAAGGTTAAGACCTGGCTTTTTGAGGCAGTCCCCAAGTTACATACAAGATAAGTTCTGTAGGTTTGGTCTTAAGTTGAATTTGTAGATAAATTGGAAACAGGGACATTTTTTAAGTGTAACTCCAGCTATGTATATTTATGTGCATGTATACACAAACACACATACATATACATAAACATATATACACACACACGGGTGGGTAAAAAAAATTACATATACAGGCAATCCCCAAGTTACAAACAAGAGAATTTCTGTAGGTTTGTTCTTAAGTTGAATTTGTATGTAAGTTGGAACAGGTACATTTTTAAGTGCAACTCTAGCTATATATATATACACACATGGGTGGGTCAAAAGGTTTTGCCTCCTGTGTCATAAAAACATTATGAATGAACATATAACAACAGAAGTTGCTACAGATCATAGTCGGAACTGTCCTCTATGCAAAACTACCATTCAGCATAGTCACCATCAGTTTGTACACATTTGCATCATTGTTTAACCCAGGCATCGAAACCATTTTGGAAAAATCCAGCCTTTTGCTTTGTGGCCCACTATTTTAAAGCTGTTTTAATGTCATTCAACTCATTGAATCTGAAACCGCGGTAGGTTGTCTTTCATAAGTCCAACAGGTAACATATCTTTAGAAGCCCCCGGTGGCACAATGGGTTAAACCTTTGTGCTGGCAGGACTAAAGACTGACAGATTGGAGGTTCAAATCTGGGGGGAGCACAGATGAGTTCCCTCTGTCAGCTCCAGCTCCCCATGTGGGGACATGAGAGAAGCCTCCCACAAGGATGGTAAAACATCAAACACATCCAGGCATCCCCTGGGCAAGGTCCTTGCAGATGGCCAATTCTCTCACACCAGAAGCAACATGCAGTTTCTCAAGTTTTTTCAAGTCATTCCTGTCATGAAAAAAGAAAACAGGTAAAAAAAAGTCCTGTTGTCTCACCGACATTCTTCTCTACGAGCTATTTGTAAGTCGGATTATTGTAACTCTGGGGCTGCCTGTATTCTAATAACAAAATGTAAGGGGACACATAGATGGCCCGTACAATCTCTTCCTATCTAATGGAAACTTTTTATTTATATTTTTAAAAATATACAACCATTCTCGTGACACACCAACACACTGCAGCCAACACACTAATGTGTGGTGACACACATTTTGGAAATCTCTGTCGTTCACTGTGGAATGAATACAGTTTGACGTCGCTTGAGCTGCCATATCTCCATGCAATGGCATTGTGGTAGTTTTAGTCTTGCAAGTTGTCTAGCCTTCTCTGACAAAGGGTGTGTCTACACTGAATGCAGTTGGACTCCACTTGGACTGCCATAGCATCGAACCCCCGGCTACGTTAGTTCTCAGGGAGTGCATCTCTACAGCATCCCCAATTCCATGGCAGTTCAAGTGGTATCTAACTGTAGTCGTTCCCCAGTGTAGATGCACACAGGACTCTAACAAAGAGTCCTGGAATATCACCAAATTACAGTCAGAAAAGGCTAAAGGAATTGCAAAGCTGCAACTTCCATGATTCCATAACATTGAGTCCTGACAGGTCAAGGACTGTTATTACATTCATTCTACAGTGCCAGTGCTCTCCAGGTTCCTTTAAACCAGGCATAGGCAAGCTTTGGCCCTCCAGGTGTTTTGGACTTCAACTCCCACAATTCCTACCGGCTGTTAGGAATTGTGGGAGTTGAAGTCCAAAACACCTGGAGGGCCAAAGCTTGCCCATGCCTGGTCTAGACTTCTGTGAGTACATTTATACTATAGAATTAATGCAGTTTGACACTGCTTGAACTGAAATGGCCGGAGAGTCCTGAGAGTTGTAATTTACAAGGTATGAGCCTTCTCTGATAAAAGTGTATCTACACTTTGGAATGAATGCAGTTGAATACCACTTGAACCAACATAACATTGAGCCCCAGGTCCTACTAATTCTCACGGAATGCATCTAGACTATAGCATGAATGCAGTGACTATACTTGAACTACTATGGCTCCGTGCTATGGAATACAGGGAGTTTGGATTGATAAAATCTTTAGCCTTCTCTGACAAAGAGTTCTGGCACCTCACCAAATTACAGTGCCAACAATTGAATCATAGAGTTGGAAGAGACCTCATGGGCCATCCAGTCCAACCCCCTGCCAAGAAGCAGGAAAATTGCATTCAAAGCACTCCTGACAGATGACCATCCAGCCTCTGTTTAAAAGCTTTCAAAGAAGGAGCCTCCACCACACTCTGGGGCAGAGAGTTCCACTGCTGAACGGCTCTCACACTCAGGAAGTTCTTCCTAATGTTCAGATAGGATCTCCTTTCTTGTAGTTTAAAGCCATTGCTCTGCGTTCTTGCATAGCATTGAGCCATGTAAGTTAAAGTAGTGCTGAACAGCATGAATTCTATGATAGAGATGCACTCACTGAGGACTAGTGCAACCTGTGGTGCTTCAACAGTGTGGAATTAATGCACTTCAATACCTTATTAGCTGCCATGGCTCAGTGATACAAATTCTTTGGGGGGGGGGGAGTTTGTTGAGGCACTCTTTGTATGAGAAGGAAAAAAACTTTAAAAACTACAATGCCCATGATGCCAAAGCATTCAGCCATGCCTGTTCAAGTACAGTCAAGCTGTATGAATTGTAAATACATCCCAGGTTCCACTAGTCCTCTGTGAGTGTGTCTATACTATAGAATTAATGCAGTTTGACTGTACTTGAACAGGCATGGCTCAATGCAATGGAATCCTGGGAGTTGTAGTTTTACAAGGTCTTGAGCCTATTCTGCCAAAGATGGTGGCTCACCAAATAACGGCCAACAGGATTCCAGAGCATCAGGTTGTGACAGTTCCAAGTGGTGTGAAAATACATTAATTCTTCAATATGCATGCATTTCTTGAGGGCTATGGAAACTGGAGTACATTTACACTGTAGAATGAATGCAGTTTGACACCACTTGGACTGCCCTATCTCAGTGCTATGGAATCTGGGAGCTAAGTGCCGATTGTGTTTAAGTGCAGGCCAAGGTCTTTAGGCACTGCACCCAGTGTGCCAATCACCACTAGGACCACCTTTGCTGGTTTGTGCCAGAGTCTTTGCAGTACAATCTTTAAATCCTTATTATTATTATTATTATTATTATTATTATTATTATTATTATTATTATTATTGCACCTTGCTTGAGATACATCTCCACTGTGGTATTAATACAGTTTCATGCCATTTTAACTGCCATGGCTCAGTGCTAAGGAATCCTGGGAGTTGTAGTTTTACAAGGTCTTTAGCCTTCTCTGCCAAATAGTGCTGGTGCCTCACCAAACTATACTTCCCAGGATTCCATAATATTGAGCCATGGCTGTTAAAGTCATGTCCAGCCAGATTAGTTCTGAAGTGTAGATGCACTCTTGGTCATTTGGAATCCAATCCTCATGAAGTCCCAGTTCTGCTCCCACTGAATCCTCTCTCCACAGGCAGTTTTAAGAAAGAGCTACAAAATACCAAATGTCTCATTTGGCATATTAGCACCCCTGTGATTGGATATGTTGCAATAGCAGATTCCCAGATTAGTTTAGTGTTTACATCTTATTTATTTATTTATTTTTGGTTCTTTAATATTTAATGTTTATATTACTTAAGTGATATTTGTATTTACTGTTCTAAAGTAGCACAAATCCTATGTAAAATCATACTACGGATTTCTGTCATTAATATTGAAATCAGAAATATATACAGAAAGTCTTTACTTTTTACAATATCTGTGTGTCTGTGCCTTCAAGTTGATGATTGGTTTATGCCATGGATACCTTCCAATGGGTACTTATGCTGATATGTCACAACAAAACAAAAAATCCAGTGGCACCTCTAAGACTAACAGATTTATAACAAGACCATTCTTGGAATTTGGTTATTTTACAACCTTCTTCCCCTCAAAAAAGTAGTTGACACACATGACACACTGAGTTTTTGTAAATTACTGCAAGCCTAAATGTAGGGAGTTGAAATGAATTCAGTGAGCCTTGGCAATGCAACAGTGCATGTGTGAGAGAGTTGCATGTCGACTTATGGAGACCCCAATAATTTTATTGGGTTTTGTTTCCTGTCTCTGAAATGTAGTCTACAGCACCTGGTGGCCTCCCACCCAAAGATTAATCAGGGCTGAACCTGCTTAGCCTCCAAGATCAGACAAGATCTTCCACAGATAGGTAAAGCTCACTTGTCTAGTTTCCAACATCTGAGGATGCCTGCCATAGATGTGGGCAAAACATCAGGAGAGAATGCTTGTGGAACATGGCCATACAGCCCAGAAAACTCACAGCAACCCAGGATCTAGTGACTTTGCTACACACAAAAGTGAGCCCCAGTTAGCAGATTTCTGTGGGAAAGTGGGTTTATGCAACATTTCTATGCATTTAAGATTGCATGCATGTAGACCACTCATAGGCAAATCCCATGAATTATGTTAAAGACTGCAACCTTAAATCTGATTTTTTTTTCCTATGTCAGGAGCGACTTGAGAAACTGCATGTTGCTTCTGGTGTGAGAGAATTGGCCATCTGCAAGGACGTTGCCCAGGGGATGCCTGGATGTTTTGATGTTTTACCCTCCTTGTAAGAGGCTTCTCTCATGTCCTCACATGAGGAGCTGGAGCTCACAGAGAGAGCTCATCCGTGTTCTCCCCAGATTCGAACCTATGACCTGTCGGTCTTCAGTGCTGCCATTACAAGGGTTTAACCCACTGTGCCACTGGGGGCTCACTGAAATCTGATGAACATAAGTGTATCCTACCAGTGCAACTCTTCATATGTGCACTTCGAACTGATCTCAGAAGTATTCAAGTAGGACTTACTTATTAATAGATAAACTTCTTGGGAGAAAGTGGTATTGAACTTCATGGAAAGTCCTTTCCAATAGAAACGTCTCAGAGGAACAATGCTCTTTGCTTTCTCATTGTTGGATCAATCACGCATTGCAGTTCACCTACAACCGCGCTGCCAGTAGAACAAGAGCGGAAGTTTTAGAGTTGCTTGTCCCTGATTTAAACTGATTGGCATTATTTCAACCCCTGTGAAAGTATTGTGTTTTTTAAAAAGGCTGGAATAGGTATTGATGGGAGATTTCCCATCCCCTTGGAAAGAACTGGTAGGAAGGAGCACGTCTAAATACCTTCATTAACAAGAGAAACAAACAGAAAGAGTGCCAACTGCATGGTTTCCCATTACACTGTAAACTGCTTTCCTTGTATCAATTTAATAGTTGGGGAGGACGTTTTAATTAGCTCTGAGTTGGAGAGGAGAGATGACATTTTCCCAAGTTTTTTTTTATATGAAGGACTAAAGAGATGGGGAGTGGGAAGAGGAGATTTCCTGGAGCAAACTTGTCAGGGGAAACATTCTGTATTGTGTTGTCAGTCTCTTTTCTTGCACTCAAACTCCTCCCATCAAGGCATTGATTTCTGTTCCTCCTGGGAGAGCCTGGCATCTGTGGGGGGTCGGAGTGGGGTGAGAGAGAATACTTTAATCCCCTTCAGGGAATTCACATACATCTCCTCTTCCACCATCCTATTGAGAGTTCCCACTGAATTTATTTAGATATATTTTAGCGTGACTTTTGTTTCCACGCATAAATACATATCATATATTGACCCTCTTCCTTACCATGATGCCTTTTTAGTTGCCATTAAGATACCAAAGGAAGAAATAAAACATTTGGGTTTGTCTAAAGAATAAGGCAAGATTTGGTAGCCTGAAATAAATGGAGATGTAGATAAAAAATATAGAGGTATAAAAGCGCACATACTTTGTGTCCCAACGCCACCTGCTGTTCCCTTTTGAGCATCTCTTTTGAAAGCTCTCTTTAAAATACTTTTTTTTCCAGCACCAAAAGTCTGTGAAGCCTGCAAAAGCAAGAACGAGGATGACAATGAAATTGTAGAAAACCTGTGCAGGAATGACTTTGGTAAGTTTCAGCGTGTCACTGCAATTAAATGGTTTGGTTTAACCCTTTGTGATCAAATGTATTTGAGTGCTCTAGAAATAGATTTCATTAAAGGCAAGTGCATCCAGCAGGAGGTCCCTCCGTTCCATCCCCAAATGAAATGGATTAAAGTCGTTGTGTTAACAAAGAATCCAAATCCACACCATCCTAGTGGATTAGGATGAAAAATAAGTCCTAGGGCACTTCCACACAGCCATATATTCCAGGAAATCAAGGCAGATCATCCACAATATTCACTTTGAACTGGACTATCAGTGTCCGTACTGTCCATTCAATGTGGATTTTATACATCTGTTTGGAAGGTGCCTTAGGCCCCTCCTACACTGCCAGATAATCCAGGTTATCAAAGCAGAAAATCCACATTATCTGATTTGAACTGGATTATCTTAGTCTACACTGCCATATAATCCAGTTCAAAGTAGATAATGTGGATTATATTCAGCTGTGTAGAAGGAGCCTCAGTCCAGTGGGGTAACACATTTAAAACACTCAAAACTATGGTCCCTTCTACACTTGCAGTATAAAATCCAGATTATTTACTTTGAACTGGATTATATGGCAGTGTAGACTCATATAATCCAGTTCAAAGCAGATACTGTAGATTATCTGATTTGATAATCTGGATTATATGGCAATGGAGTGAACATTTCAATCATGTTCAATGTAAAATTAACAAAAGGTTTGTCACTGTGACTGGTGGTGCATGGGCAGTGCCATTTCTCCATACAATCCTCATTGGTCATTATTATCACCCAGGACACAGGAACAGTAAAGAAACCCACAGCAATATTGTTCCTTCAAACATTGGATTCTTCTGCAAGGTGGAATAGCTACCATTCTCTGATATAGGCAGGAAAGGAGGTGACCTCTAGAAGCCTCTTAACCTAATAGCCAAAACTACCTTTAATACTCGAGTGGCTCAAATTGATAGCAAGTTTCCGCCCAGCTAAAGTGTGTGTCCCAACAAAGAGTGACTTAGCTCTGAGCGCCCTTCCACACAGCCATATAACCCATAATATTAAGGCAGATAATCCACAATATCTGCTTTGAAGTGGGTTATCTTAGTCCACACTGCCATATAACCCAGTTCAAAGCAAATAATGTGGGATTTTATACAACTGTGTGGAAGAGACCTAAGTGTCTTTAGTCTGCAAGTTTCTGCCACTTTATTTCCCTGCCCTGCTTTTCTCTGTCATGCTCATCTTATAATTTGGCAGAACCCAAGAACTGTTTAATCCTGTGTGGTTTTTTAAAAAAATATTTATAACAACAAAAATGTCACAAGAGTTATCTGTCATTAAAACTTGTACAAGATGCAAAAGTGGAAGATTGCTTTCTTTATGGGCTCCTTGAAACTCTGCACCAGAACTGGAACATACAATGCTCCAGGTTGTCACGACTTGTGCTTGTAACTTTCTGGCTGCTGATTCTGGGCCATATATGGAGAAATCTGGAAGCATGTAAAGTAGATCCAGACAGTAAGACTTTGCTGAGGACTTTGGCTTTATTGAGTTTCATCCTTCAGTGGGGGAGGCATAATGAGTGAGGCCTGAACTCCTATCCTGCTGTGAATCGGAGAGTGGAGGGATTTAGTCTCTCCAGTTCCCAACTTCTCATGAGGAGAGGGGGAGTGCTGAGCACCCATCTTGCTGGGAACCAAGAGCAAGACAGGGGCCCCATCCACACAGCTGAATAAAATCCCACAAATTTCTGCTTTAAACTGGGATATATGACAGTGTGGACTCAGATATCCCAGTTCAAAGCAGATATCGTGGGATTGTCTGCCTTGATATTCTGGGACTTTGTGGAAGGACCCAGGGATTTCCCTTGGCTTCTTGAGGTAGTGAGAGAACTGAGCTGTGAGAAAGAGAAGGAAGAGGCTAGGGTAAATATTCTGGTTTGTTCTAGCACTTTTGAATTGGTTTTGCATGTCTGACATGCAAAGTGATTTAGAGATCTGAACGTTAATCCACAACAAAGCACAACAAAGTCCATCATAATCATGGCAAAGCCTTTGCATTCCAAAGGAAGGGGGTGAGGGAAACACCCTTTTAAAAAAGTTGCCTTTGAAAATTGCACATTCCAGGAGCTATTGTTCAAGTGCTTTGGAGAAAGCAGACTGAGGGTTGCTTTGCAAAGGTAAGATGGCTGGAGTTAAGTTTGGAAAAAGATGAACATATACGGGTCACAAGTACAGTAGAGTCTTGCTTATCCAACATTAACGGGCTGGCAGAACATTGGATAAGTTCTAATAAGGAGGGATTAAGGCAGTAGTTCTCAACCTGTGGGTTCCCAGGTGTTTTGGTCTACAACTCCCAGAAATCCCAGTCAGTTTACCAGCTCTTAGGATTTCTGGGAATGGAAGGCCAAAACATCTGGGGACCCACAGGTTGAGAACCACTGGATTCAGGGAAAGCCTATTAAATGTCAAATTACGTTATGATTTTACAAATTAAGCACCAAAACATCATGTTTTGTAACAAGTCTACAGAAAAAGCAGTTCAATACATGGTAATTTTCTGTAGTAATCACTGTATTTATGAATTTAGCACCAAAACATCGCAATGTATTGATCTAGGCATTGGATAATACAGAATGTTGGATAAGTGAAGGTTGGATAAGCGAGATTCTACTGTAGTCAGAAACCCTTCTTGAATAAGGAAGATAATGAGAAAAAAATAGTTGGCTTTGAAAGAAAGTTTATTATTAAAAGCACATGTTATAATTTTATCAGATTATAACTGTAGAAGTATTTGCAGTGGAATTTGCAGGGATTCATATTGTTATCAGTAAAGAAGTACAAAGACAATAAGTTACTGCTCACATAGCTAGTCATAGATTTTCATCTGGCACATCTAGCATGAAGTATTTTATTTTTTTATGGTTAGGTCTCCTAACAAGATTTGTGTTTTTTTCCCTCTTCCAGTTATTGTACCAAATCAAATACAGCTGTTGAACCAATTCCCCACCTCCTTTTTTACCCGTTTCTCAAACTATAATGCATAAGCCATATTGAATCCTTAGAGGTTCACTTAAGAATCTGTCTATCCTCATAAATTAAGTGTAACATTTTCAGCAGCCACTGAGATCAGATTTCCTAGGGAAAATTAGACCTTTTCCCCAGTCTTCTCTTCTGCAGCTTGGGTGAGAATACATCATGCTAGGTTTAAGCCCTAATGCATGATTAATGCATGAAACAGGCCCTGTCTCTGTTTGCAAATGCCTGAAAATTGTGAGGAAAAGGTCCATTTAGAAAAGATGCTTTCTTTAAGAAAAAAAGAAGCACACCCAAAGGTTGATTCAAACTGAAATGACTTGCGTGCCCTTGGTGGCTTTAGAAATGGAGCCACCTGCTGTCCATTCTGTCAGTCCCTGACAGTTTAATTAGCAATAGAAGACTTCTCTCCCCAGGTTCTCTTTATTAGCACTAATGGGAAAAAATCCCCTCTCTTTCTGTCAATGTGTTCCCCTTCCCCTCCTCCCTGTTATCCCTATTAGCCCTGAAGATAAAAGTGAAGGAGATTGCCTACATCAATGGGGACACCAAGATCACGCCCGAAACAAAGAGCAAAACCATCTACAAGCTGAACGGGGTGACAGAAAGGGATCTGAAGAAGACGGTGCTGTGGCTCAAAGGTGGCCTGCAATGTACCTGTGACGAAATGAATGATATCAATGCCCCCTATCTAGTGATGGGACAGAGGCTGGCTGGGGAGCTGGTGATCACCTCCGTCAAGCGATGGCAGAAAGGTCAGAGGGCATTCAAGAGGTTTTCGCGCAGCATCCGGAAGCTCCAATGTTAGTCCCTTGCCGCTTTGGGTCCTGTCTATTCGCCTGCCATGAGCTCTTCCTGCACCTTCTTGCTTGAGCCTCAAAAGCACAGGAGGCATGGAAGAGGCAGAGCCATTTGTTGCTTTCTTTTTCAAATAATAATAATAAAGGGAGAAGAGGGAGCCATTCCCAATTCTGTACATGTAGCAAAACTATAACTTACAAACATCACACACTTTCTTTACATGACTGTATCAAAGTATCTTGCTTAGAGCTAGTTATTTGCAGTGGTGCAAAGTGTGACTTGGATCTTTTGGGGGCGGGAAAGTAGAGTAACTTTTTTGGGTTTCCATTTTGAACAGGCCTTCTGTAAGTTCTGTGTGGCTTACATTTCTGTACTGGGCATCAGTTCATCAAGCATTAGCCCCAGTTTGCCAGGTTTGACATTGACATGGTAGGAAAGCCTCCATGACATACCATTGCCCCATTATTTCTGTAAGTTTGTTATAAGACTTCCAAAGTATTAAATCCAAGATATCACTGCCCGGTGGATATTCTAAAGCAGTGGTTCCCAACCTTTTTTTTTTTTAAATCAGGGACCACTTTGATCAGGGACCACTCTCCAACATTAGTACCAAAAGGGTTACAAATCAGTTTTTGGTCAACTTTAGATTCGGTTTGGTTATTTGGGGTGCTGATTCAGATAATTGCATTGGATAAACCCCATTATCTCTAGTTTCTGATACAGAACATATGCTATCCAGTAGTCGCCATCGGCTCACCCACAGAAAACCTTATTTAATAATCTAGTGCTGATGTGATAGTCATAATCTTTTGTGGGTAGTCAGCCTCTCCCCTCCCAACATCCCCGTTGCCTCAGTACTATAAGAGGGTTTCACCAGACCAGGTGCTCTTGTTGCCTCATGGTTTCAAGGCAACGGTGTAGTAATGGTGAGGGTGTGGACCATATTTTCATTCTTGCAAACCACTGGTAGTTGTTCCTAAAGAAATGGTTGCTATCTTAAAATGACGAGTCAAGTCACTTTTAATGGCTTTATTGCCACTAGAAAGTATGAATCTGAAAGAAATGAGAGCTAGAGACTTCCTATTATTACTGGCCACAAGCCAAAGTTGTATTGGACATATTTGAGCCTGTCGGTTTCAGCAGACCTGAGCACAAAATCCTTTGCACACTTCCTTGAGAATTAGCACTATTTCATTTAATGGGACTTAATCCTGTGAATGCTTTTAGGATTGTGCAACAAGTCTCTATTACAGCGTTTCTCAACCTTCCTAATGCCTCGATCCCTTAATACACTTCCTCATGTTGTGGTGGCCCCCAACCATAAAATTATTTTTGTTGCTACTTCATAACTAATTTTGCTGTTGTTATGAATCGTAATGTATCTATCTGATATTCAGGATGTATTTTCATTCACTGGACCAAATTTGGCACAAATACCTGATAATGCCCAAGTTTGAATGCTGGTGAGGTTGGAAGGGGATGGATTTTGTCTTTTGGGAGTTGTAGTTGCTAGGATTTATAGTTAACCTACAATCAAAGAGGATTCTGAACTCCACCAATGATGGAATTGAACCCAACTTGGCACAGAATTCCCATGACCAACATAAAATTATTGAAAGTTTTGGTGGGCATTGACCTTGAGTTTTGGAGTTGTAGTTCACCTACATCCAGAGAGCACTGTGGACTCAAACAATGATAGATGTGGATCAAACTTGGTACGAAAACTCAATATGCCTAAATGTGAACACTGGTGAAGTTTGGGGAAAATAGACCTTGACATTTGGGAGTTGTAGTTGCTGGGATTTATGGTTAACCTACAATCAAAGAGCATTCTGAACCCCACCAGTGATAGAATTGGGCCAAACTTTCTACACAGAACTCTCATGCCTTGAGAGTTCTGTGAGCCTCCCTCCAGCCTCACACGCTCTCCCTCGCCCACGCATGCGCACCATGCTGCCATGTAGTAAGCACGCCTACTCTCCCCTCCCCAGGTGCCATCTCAGAAACAGCTCTCCCCATGGTTGAGAGGCCAGCCAGTCACAGTGGAAGAGGGCTTTTGGTGGGAGAATTCTCCCATCTGTTACTAAAAAGGATGAGAAGGCAGAAAGATCTTCAACTTTCTCTTCCAAAAGAATTCCTAAGACCTTCCTGATGGTCTTTGGTGACCCCTCTGAAACTCCCTCACAACCCCTCCAGGGATCCCAATCTCCAGGCTGAGAAACGCTGATCTATTAGATAGTGGTCAGCGAGAGGGAGAAGGGTTTTGGCCACTATTGAGTTGAATTTGTTTTGGTATGAAACCTGCAGGATATTTTTATTCATATACAGAAAATACCATTATTGCATGTGGTGCTTTTGCAGAAACTGCATTAATAAACGCATATTAATCATTCTCACACAGTATTTTTTACACATTTGCCAGTAATAATAGTTTTACATTGAGCGAATGCATATTTGAGGAGGTTTTCTGTTTTGTGTTATTGTGATACTTCTGCCTTCACAAATTAAACATTTTTTTTAGCCTAAGTGTAATATAACTAGTGGTTATTCTGAAAAGAGTTGTAAAATATTACTTTAACAAAACCTGTAAATATTCCAGATAAACCTTATATTCTTGTACATAAACTTTACATTGTAGTATACTCTTTTGTCTTTTTTGGTGGGATCGATGTCATCTCTGAAAAAGCAATAGTATTTGTGGGAAAAGGTCTCCCCTCCATAACTTTTAGCTGTTCTTATTTTATCCATATGACCAGAAACTTTATGATACCAATGTTGGCCAAATGCTATTTACTACACTTTCGACATTTTTATCCTTGAATATAACCTTCATGGACATCCCATTTAGATATACCACAGTATGCGTCGTAGCAGTATAAAACAGAATAACATGACAACAATGAAAAAATGACTTCCTATTCTGCGCCTCCTATAACAAGATCTGACCACCTCCAATAAAATATTGTTTTTAAACTATAAAAATGTAATTGCATTGCTTGAGCTAATATATGAATCTGTCACTCAGAATGTTAATAGAAGAGCAAATGGTCCATATGGGGAGACTGAATGAGGGGGATGATGCTGACAATGTTTTTTCTCCCTTTTTGGACCACCTTGGAAGAAAAACAAGCCAGTCTTTTTCAAAATAACATTCACAGCCTAACTCAACAATGAACAAAAACAAAACCAATGTACGGTGATTATTTCATGTAAAGGTAAAGATTTCCCCTGACATTAAGTCTAGTCGTGTTCGACTGAGGTGTGATGCTCATCTTCATTTCTAAGCCGAAGAGCCAGCATTGTCCATAAACACCTCCAAGGTCATATGGCTGGCATGACTGCATGGAGGGCCGTTACCTTCCTGCCAGAGTTGTACCTATTGATCTACTCACATTTGCATGTTTGCAAACTGCTAGGTTGGTAGAAACTGGGCCTAACAGTGGGAGCTCATCCCACTCCTAGGATTTGAACCACCAACCTTTCAGTCAGCAAATTCAGCAGCTCAGCAGTTTAACCTGCTGCACCACTGGGGACCCAATTCTATTACATTTCATAAATGTTTATATCCTTCTACAAGAAAGAAATTGTGTCCAACATGCTATTAAAACAGAAATTCTAGTTGGAGATTAGATGAAGAAATCTCAATCAAGAAGACAAGGGCAAGAAAAAGTCTGCTTGAATTAGTGTTCAAAGAAATACTACTATGACATACTAATACGAATCAGGGACATGAGATTGGGGAGGAGAAGTATCTGTATCATATACTTGGCTTTTCTCCAGGTTGGAATGCTCTACTCATCCCCATCTTCGCCATGTTATCCATAAGGACCAATTGACACATTTTAGAATTTTGAACAATCAGCACTCCTTAGTTGTATGAAGAGACTGTGTGAGTAGGCAATATATTCCACTACTATGCTCAACAACGACAGGAACAATGGAGTTTAAGAGAGTGGAGCTAAGTCTGTGTTTGTGTGCACCCATGGGTGCATGCAAAAAAAAAAAGCACAGACCTTAGCACATAGGATCATAGGGTTGGAAGAGACCTCACAGGCTATTCAGTCCAACTCCCTGCCATACAGGAATATGACTGTAGAGACCCCAACAGCTAACCATCCAGCCTTTGTTTAAACTTCCAGAAAATAAGATTCTGGGTACTTCCAGACAGCATTAAAATTCATATTAAATAAGTGAGTTAATAGTGGGACCTGACAGCAAGTCCAGACACAGACCTGTTGGTCCTGGGAAATTTTCTCCTGCCATCCTGACACTTTCCTTTGTAGTGGGTTTTACAAGTCCGTAAGGTGGACGGGGCATCCGGCAGAATTTTTTTTTTATTTTCTCTGAGATGCTCTGAATCATATATGAGCTCATGCTGACATCTCAATGTACACACAAGCAGATTTCTTGCCTCTCTCCTTACCCAACTATAAATTCAAGCTCTGTTTAATATTATAAAGATCAGAACAAAGAAATGGTTGCAGAACGTTCTAATTATAATTGCTTTCCAATTGTGCTTCTGTTTAGCCACCTGTGTGTCAGTAGCTCCTTTTTTTGACAGCCCTGACAGTTTTTTTGATAGTTTTTGGACCTTTAAAATGTGTGCACATGCACTGGGGGAAGGAAGTCACATATTTTCAATGACTGCAGAGATGCACAGTCATGTGAATATGCACATTTGGGGGGCTGGAATAGGGTTTTACGCACACCTTTAAAACGTGCTTTTCTTCTGTTAACTCGATTCAGCGCACACTTTCATGAAAGGTCATTTAACACCCCCCCCCCTCTTTTTATCCTGGTTTCTTCCAGGATTTTAGGCATGTGCAGAAGTTGTCCCCCATCATGCTCTGAGGAAGCACATTCTATTGTTAAACAGCTCTTAGCCAGGAAGTTCTTCCTAATGTTTATGTGGAATCCTTGTTCCTGTAGTTTGAATTAATGATTCTATGTACTAATTTCTAGAGCAGCAGAAAACTACCTTGATCCTTCATAACTTTCTCTTTTCCAGGCTGAATATAGCCAGCTCCCTAAGCTGTTCCTCATAGGGACTGGCTCCTTGACCTTTTACCACTTTGGTCGCCCTCCTCTTGACACATTCCAGCTTGTTAATATCTTTCTTGAATGATGATGCCAAGAACTGGAGATAATATTCCAGGTGAGGTCTGACTAATGCAGAAGAGAGTAATACTCTTCCCTCAATCCACACACTATTCTCCTATTGATGCCACCTAGAATTGCATTGGCTTTTTAGCTGCCTTCAAGTCACTTGTCAACCTCTAGGGCACATGGATGTCTATGGCAGTAGTTCCCAAGCTTTGGTCCTCCAGGTGTTTTGGACTTCAACTCCCACAGTTCCTAATAGCTGTTAAACTAGCAGGGATTTCTGGTAGTTGAAGTCCAAAACAATCGGAGGACCAATGGCTGTGAACCACTACCTAGGGATTTCTTACGCATGGCAAACCACAGAGGTAGTTTTCTATTGTTTTCCTCTGAAATATAGGCTACAGAAGCTAGTATTAAGTAGTCCCCCATCCAAGTACCAATGCAGCTTTATGCTATTTAGCTTCCAAGATCAAGTGGGATTTGCTATGGCTTCACTCTGTATAAGGCACCACTAAGCCTTTCACCACAGATGCCCAGACCTTGGAAAAGAAAGCTTGAACCCCTCAGTCTGGCAATGTTAGCAGATTCCAAAATAGCCCCCCCCCCCCCAGCTCTTTGCATATCTCATTTGTGTGACAAGTGTATGCTTAGCAAGTGATAGTTTGGTTAGTTTCTGCCTTTGATAAAATGCTTTAGTAATTTAATACTGCATATACAGAACTATTGATATAGTTACACAGCATACCTTCCCCATTATGTCCCTGCAAATTGAGCATGGGAACATCCTGCACAGATTTATATTCCCTCTTCCTATTAGCAATTCCTCCCTAAAGAAAATCTGTATCTGGACCAGAGGAAGGGAAAGTGCATTCTATGAATAGCATATGGCCTCCTAGCCCCACTTTCATCATCCATGGCATTTGACCAATACCCTTTGTCTATAATTTTTATTAAAACATTTCATTTGAAAATTATAAACATATGCAAAGGTAAAGCTCTCACCCAGAACATCCTATCCAAATCTTTACTTGAAATTGAAAATATGGTGTGTGGGAATAGGGTCTGATGTACAGAGAAAGGAGGAGGAGGGAGAGAAAGGGAGATGTGGGGCAATGAATTTCCTAAGCTCTTGCCCAAAGTCGGGATATTCTTTCTGTAGTACTATCAAATGCCTCTCCGATCTTTTCTTTTTTCAAGAAAAGGGATCTGAAGCGAGTAAGTATCAAAGGAAGTACAGGTCATGGAAGGTTTGCAGTTGGGTCACTCGTCTGTCAGAAGTGAGTCTCCAGAAGCAAAGTTACATGAGGCGTTAATCAGTGGGTGATTTCCAGGTCATGAAGTGGCAGAAATAGGTTGTGAGCCAGACTCAAATATTCTGAGCAGATCTGCTTTTTAAAGCTCAGGAAAACCCTTTTTAAACAGTTAACAGAAGATAATGCTCTCAGCTTGGGAACTGTTCTAAGGCTAGACATGATTTAATTACCCCACAGCAAGGCCTCCTTGCCAAGAGAACCAATCTTGCAAAAAGGGGACAAATTTCAAACCTATAGTATCAATATATAAATAACCTTCCAATGCAGTTAATCTGCATAAAAGGATAAGCGTATTGTGTTCACAAACAGTTCGTGAAATCTGAGCATTAGATCTACTATTTAACTATTAAGCTTTTGAAGTAGAGTCGCAGCCAGATGTGTATGGGGTCTTTTCAAGTTTCCATTTAGTTATGGGTAAAGAGTTAAACAATGTCTTCTCATTTGTCCCTCTACTCAGCATATGCACCCTGCTGGTTGCAACCGTCCCAATGGCAAGTCATTTATTTCCCTGCTGTGGCCTGCTTAGGGGCTGCTCCATTCACTTCCCAGACAGCTTCCTTTCATGTGAGCATTACAACCACGACAGACCTTATTGTTGAATCCTTTTTATTATTTGTACCACCTTTTTAAATTCTTCTTAGGTTATGAAAGGAAACAATAACGGATGGAAAATAGATGGATTGCTATCTCACTCACTAACTCAGAAGTCATCAGTTTTCTTCAACATTAAACAGAAAATGAATGAAAATATACTAACAGGTTAAATTATTTCTCTGGGCGTGCATTCTTTTCTGGTGTTTGTGTGGTTAAAGGCAACCTTCTCTTGAATACGTTTGCAAAATATCTTCAACCTTCTCGTGAATATCTTTTGCTGAAATGATTAGTATGAGACAAATTATAGACGACCAATTCTCTCACATCAGCAGCAACTTGCAGTTTCTCAAGTTGCTCCTGACATTTAAAAAATGGTATTATATGTGCATGTAACAAAAATAATGTCATTAAAAATGTCTGCAGTATAATCTTTCATCTGGATTGCTATCCTTTTAAAGCAGTGGTTCTCAACCTTTTTAATGCCGTGACCCCATTATTGCCCTTCCTCATGTTGTGGGGACTCCCATCCATAACGTTATTTTTGTTGTTACTTCATAACTGTAATTTTGCTGCTGTTATGAATTGTAATATAAATATCTAATATGCAGGATGTATGTTCATTTATTGGACCA